TCTAACTACTATATACTATAATATAACTATGCTAATAACTAATAATAAATATAATATAAAATACAATAATAAATATAGAGAATTGCTATTTCCATCATAGTAAATTGCTATTTCCACCATGATCTACATTGCATTCTGAATATCACCGATCATATAATTTGATCGCATGTATCACATAACAAGCCTCTATATATAACTTGAAATTACTATATACTCAAAATGTATATCTGAGATAGCCCGGGCATCATACCGGTTATAGGTTTCTTATATTCCACAACCCTAGTTTAAACCTGGGTAACAATAAAGGAGATCTATTATGAAGAGAGCATTTAATATGGTAGATATAAAATAATCGGTTATATACAAATTTTTATTTTAGAGATGTTAAACAGTTAGAACTACTAGTTCTATCTAACCATATCGGGTTTAATATAAAATATGTGTAATTTAGAGTTAACCAATCAAGTATAATATAAAGTTATTAATCGCCTAACTAGTTATAAATTATGGCTTTTTTTTGATTTTAACCTAGGATGCCGATAGCACTCTTTATAAATTATAGTATTTAGAAAAAGTTCTGTTATTGATTTAAATTTTTTTTTATTCGATGTGTCAAAAAAGATACTTTTTAATATTATTTGACTAGCATGCTAGTTCAGACTAGTCCCGAACTAGTTCCTCTAGTCCCCAGTCTGGGCTAGGCCCCCTGTAGACCACTTAACATCCCTATTTTATTTTTATAGTACATATAAATGATTGTTATACCCTCCATACCTTATACCTACAAGTAAACTAAATAACAGATAACTATTTACATAAAAAAAAGAAAAAAAAAACTGTATTTTTATCTATTATTAACTAAGTCTAACTATCTTCATCCGAACATTTAATATTAGGACATGTTCAACTATTGTGCCTGGTCTCACGACATATACCGCATCTCCTGTTATGACTATTCTCGTCTAAGCTTTCAGCATTAGGACACATTCTACTATTGTGCCTGATCTCATGACATATATCACATTTTCTTGACATCATCAATTTAAAGGTGGTCGGATCTCTTTTAATAGATAATTAAGGACAGTTTTTTGCACCCACTGGATGACCTCTTGTTTGTTGAACCTCTGGATCTTGTATAATTACAGTTAACTCTTGAAATAAGCTTGACATTTTTTCCAGAGCCATACTTTTTTGGTGAATTGATAAAGAGGTAAATTGATAGTTATAATCTTTTCACTTTTGATGTAATGAATCTTTAGTTTCAGGTAGTTCTTGCTAAGACAATTGGCATTGCTAGATCCACCAATATTGATAAAAGTTGTCAAGCTGTAAACCTTCATTATTATCAAGAAGTTCCTGGATTGTGTGAGAACAAGGTAGGCCCATTGATGATCTGAAGATACTACTATAAGGACATAGTGGATTTTCTGATGTTGCATTAGATGCTTTTAAAAATTGTTCATGAACTTTCTTTAATGCAAATGTAGATACTTTTAAAATGACCTGCGCATAGAATCAGCTGTTTTGAGTCTGGGGTATCTGAATCATCTCTTGGGAAGACTTGGTTTTAATTTCTTGATACTGGTTCTCTATCACCAAAGAAATTTTTTCGTAAACAATATGAAGATTACCTATTGATACTTAAAGATATGTTTTTAGCATCACATAGGCTCCTTCTACTCACGATGTTGTCACATTACCTAGAGGTCAAAAAAATTAAACAAATAAAAATGGAACTAAAAACAAATACTAGAAGAATAATAAAAGAGAAGTAGAAAAAGAAGAGTTCAAAAGGAAGAGAAAGGGAGAATTATGAAACAAAATAGGTTCGAAAAAGGTTATAAAAAATAAAAATAAAATGAAATACCTAGGTGCAAATAATGGTCTGCCCAACAACTCACAAAATTTGTTTTAAATAGCAACTATGTTTTTTTCAAATATTTAATAACTGTTTGTTTTTCATTGTATTTTACTACTAATTTTTCCCAGTCATTTTCAAAATCAGTTTCTTTTTTAGATTTTATAAGGTTGAATCAGCTTTTCATAAATTTTGTCTATTCATCATTGGTTTGGAAATGAGGCCAACAGTTAACTAGCACATTTTTATTGATATGCTAAATGCATAGAAAATTATATGACTCAGAAAACACCGTTTGTATTGCATTCATCAAAGCTAGTTCACGATCAGTCATGATAACTTGGGGCTTTGGAATGTTACCTAAAATGCAGGCAATGCAAGTGAGGGCCCATCTGTAATTCTCTTCCTGCTCTGATTTTAAGAATGCAAAGCAGGAAGAGAACGTAGTATTAAAACTTGTTATGCCAACAACATGAAGGAATGATATTTTAAATTTATTGGTTTTGTATGTACAATCTATTAAGAGAATGGAATTATATGTTTTAGTAAGTATGATTGATTTTTGATGTGCAAAAAAAAGATAAGTTAAATGTTCATCTTGATTATATTAATAATAATGTTCAAAATTCCCTTCTACAAACTCATCAAAAAGAGCCTAAATTGGTATATGACCTTGAAGATTGTCATGTCAAATCTTATTTCGAGCATTATAGATAGTTTTTAAGATTGTTAAACTATCTGGGTTGCTTTAACAGAGAGTATCTCTCAAGGATAGATGCCTGCTTTAGATATTTTCTTAACTTTTTGTTAATCTTCTTTATTCAATTGACGACTAGATGGATGGTCTGAAATGTCTTTCGATGCCTTATAATTGTGTTCTTTGTTATTTATTTTTAAATACCATTAACCATCTTTCATTTTCTTTCTATATAGCTCAAAACGGCACCCTATCAATTGTGTACTTATAGCTTTCTGGCAGGTTTTGTTAATAAGATTCAATCTATTACTGTAGTTGCTACCTCTGTCACATTGCAAGTAAACAAACTTGTCTCATTCAGATCTTTTAATGCTTACTGCATACCTGTGACTAAAGGCATGAGTTCAGGCATGATCGATAAGACCATCATGGCTTGGGAAGTATCCTTCTGAAGGTGGCAACAAGGACATGATGTCTTATATTTTTAGAAATAACAAGGTATACAACAATAATTGTAAATGAAAGCTTTATATTTATAAGTGTAATGGATATTTTATTAACAATTTTATAACAGAATTTAGTATAAAGATTTTAGTGATGAAAGTTATAGCGATTCTTAAGAGTACTTTATTAAGTAAAAACTAAAGATATTTTTGAGTTATCTTTGAATTATTTTTAACTTGATTCTATTAACATTTTTCGAGTGGTGCTTTTATATTTTGAAATTCAATCTATATCTTAAGCGGGCAATTTTAATATCGTATGATAGTGTGGCCTAATCAGCCTAGTATAATTCTATTTAAAAAATGTACCACACTCATTAGCCATTATATATAATAAGAGGATAGGTTTATAATTTAACAAACCATACCATTCTGACTAGGTATTATAGTACAGTAAATTATTAAATCAGTATAGTATGATTTTTTTTGTTAAAAAACGTACCATATTGATGTGGTATTAATCTGTCTGTCTATACTAATATTTCAACAATGTCATATTATCTGTTTGTCATGTCATTTTAATAAATTATGAATTGACATATGTCAGTTCAAATCTGTATGCATTTGTATACATCATATGATAATGGACACATCAACCGAACTGATAAATAATAGCATTAGCTAATATTATTAATCTGCATAATTACTTTACTTTTTTTGCCTATTATGCAATTTTTATCATAAGAAGTGTATGCATTGCATAGTTATAAAGGCCTTAACATGATATTAATGCATATGTATGCATCACATAATTATAGTATAAACACCTTAACATGATATTGTAAATTCAGCATTAATGCATATATATGCACCACATAATCATAAAACATATATAGTATAGTTAAGACCTTTTGGGATAGAATCAGGGCACGAGTAATGATTTATTTAACGAAGCATGAACACTTGAATTATGTAGCATAAGTGTGTTTATACATAATTCTTTGTAACATGTTTATTTTAATTTCTGAAGAACCTATATGAATTAGTAAATATATTAAGAAAAAAGCTTTACTGTAAATATGTGAACAATAAAAATGATACTATAAACTAAAACCTTAATTACATGAACTAAAATAACATGTTAATTTGGAACTTATTATACATTCTAATATCTATAAACCAGAATCTTTATTTATAAGTAAAAAACTAATTTATCAATATTATATAACGATTATATCGCCTCATGATATATCACTTATTAATACACCTGATTTAATAGTAACTATCAACCTAATTGCTACTAAACAAATTAACAAAAACACCCTAACCCTAACCAATACTAACCAACAAAAGAACATGCCAACGATAACATCCTAACCCTAACCAATACTAACAGAAAGGCACCTTAACCCTAACTACAATGATTATAAAACTGCAAAAGTGACTAGTAAAATACCTAACATAGTGTACAAACAATTATGAATGACAGTAAAAATGACAAATCCAAGACTTTTCAAAAATAATAATGCCACCAACAACAACAATAATATTTCACAGCTTCAATAATGATGAACCCCAATAACGAAAGTATTTTACCATTTTACTAACATGATATCAACAAAGCTAAAGAACTGCCTACCTGATGTGTATTGTCTAAAAAAAAAATGTTACTACTGTAAACACACTAACAAGCCAAAACAACAAACCAAAAAAATTACACACTTTCCTGAATACCCAAGAAACGAAACAAGAAACTAAAGATACCTTCGAAAATACCCAGAAAAAAAAAGTATTAGTAAATGCGTCCAAAATCCAAAATGACAAAGCTAATACTCTCCTTAAGTTTCTGAATTCGAAATGTCCACACAGTATAACTAGTAAAACAATATAGCAATGCATTTACCCTAACTGTAGTAAAATAAAGTGACTAACTTCAACAAAAGCATCAACAACAAAGTAAGACAGTACAAAAACGTCAAAATCAACTAAAGAAATCACACCCAAGAACCAAAACAAGAAACTAAAGATGCTCTTGAAAATACTTGAAAAAAAAAGAAGTATAAGTAAACACATCTAAGACAAAGCCTAAAATTTTAGAATCCAAAATGTCCACACAGTATAACCGGCAAAATGACAATGACAATGGCAATGCATTTACCCCAACTATAGTGAAATTCAGCAACTGACCTTAACAAAACACCAACAATAATACAAAAATGGCAAAATCCACATCTGTGATTACTCCAATTACTGTGACAGTGATTCTGAACAACATAATGCCAAAAAGCGATGAAACTCATACTGACATGGCCAATGATGACGACTCTAACTATAACACCAATAATGGTGACAATTAAAAGAAAAAAAAAACTATTAAGTAATATATAATAAGAAAGAAAGCTTATATCTATCAGTTCAGGCTCATATGATCAGTGATATTCGGAATGCAATGTAGATCATAGTGGAAATAGCAATTTACTATAGTGGAAATAACAATTTTCTAAATATATAACAACTACTAATAATATAATATACTATGCTATACTAAAAATCTACTTTGTAATAACATATAATATTGTACTTTACATAGATGCTTCAAGCTCTTATTTGAGATGGTGTGACTTAAAATTATAAATACACTAATTTAACTAATTGTCAAGGGACAGTTTGTCATAATACAGATTAATTTCCAAATTTCATTATAGATAAGATTTGAACCTTAGACTTGCTATTTAAAGAATGATAATTTAACTACTATACTAGGATTATCATCTTCTGTTTAACTTATAATTAAATATAAATATTATTTTTTTTATATATTTAATAATAAGTTTAAGACTTCTAGGTAGAGGCCTGCACGGGCCAGGCCAAAATTTTAAAATTTCAAAAACCTCTCAAAACTGCGGGCCTGATAAGGTATAAACATAATAAAATGCGGGCCG